CCCCCCCCCCCGGTGTCGCAAACTTCCCCAACGCAATTTAGAAACTTGGCGTCAAAGGCCAACTATTCGACAGCAGAGCTATTTTAACTCGCATTTGCGTCGCCGATATCCTTTTAGCAAATAAACGCGTCGAACTTTCTTTTCTCACCCCCGAAGGAGAGTACGGGAACGTAGAGGATGGCGATTTGAATTTTCCTCGTACGCCACGGAATATGTAGAATCAGATAATCGACGTGAAAATTGATCTTGTGCAAGGAGTAATATCAACATATAAATCAGTACGACGGGTTGCCTACCCGTCATTCGGACGATAACGCAAGAGTTGCCGAGAAAGTCACTCGTTGATCTTGTCGATAATGATATTTGAAGTGCTTCCAGTTATGACGAGTGCAACTAATTTTGCACCGTGATCGTTTATGATAGCAGCCGAGTCTCATTAAATTGAAAAAAAAAATTGTTTAAAAAAGCGAACTGAGAAATAAACATTATGAATTTGTTAAGAGAGTAAATAATGCAATATATTTTCTTGTTTCGTATAATTTAATTTCTTTCTTGCATTGGAAAATTTGATAGGAATTGGAGATTAGAGAAAATGGTACAGAAATATTTAGAGATCTTATATACTGTGTTCCATCGCTTTTGGAATAGGTCGCTTCTGCAAAAAATATGCATCGACCGGAAACGCAGCATAAATTATTGATCAACTTGATCGATAATAACTGTTAAGCGATATATTTTCGGTACATGATCTCGTATTTTGATGCCTCTTTTATTAAAAATAGCGTTTGTTTTTCAAAGTTTTCGCAGCTTATACGCAAATCAAAAGACTCATGAGCCACTTTTGTCGATAAAAAGAGTTCAGAATATGAACATTCTACACTCTAGTGAGGAGTTTTCAATGAGGCTCGGCTCCTATCATAAACGATTCGGGTACAAAATTATAATAAATTGCATTCATCATAATATAATATAATATAATATAATATCGTTATCGATAAAATCAACGAATGACCCTGGTGTAACATCAACATACAGATCAGTACGATGGGTTGTCTGCCCTCATTCGGATGATAATGCAGAGGTTGCCGAGAAAGTCACTCGTTGATCGTTTATGATAATAGCTGAGTCTCATCAAATTAAAAGACAATGTTTAAATAAGCGAAACTGAGAAATAAACATTACGAATTTAAGCAGAGTAAATAAGAGTAATAGTTAAGGAAGTAAATAATGCAATATATCTTCTTGTTTTGTAATAATTTCATAATTCATACATATAATACGAATTTTGTGCACATAAGTATTTTACAGCAGTTAGTCGTCAACTTTATTTCATGAATGTATTAATACATACATTTATTTATGTGCACGAAATTCATATTATATGTATGAGTTATGACGATCGCGATCCTGAAAAATGTAATTTAATTCTCTCGTTGTAATTCCCAAGTCGTGAGATACAGTGTATTACATACAAGTGGGCTGATATACATCCTTGGTTCTCTCTCCTTCGTTATTCCCTCGCTGACATTCCTGGATTGTTAGAGAATTAATTTCACTGCCTGTATCTTGATTTTCCTGGGTTTCCGCGCGCTTATTTCATCAAATCGCGCTGTAATCTCGCGGCGAAAGTCTTTCGCTAAATGTTCAGCCAAATATCAACCCAAATCGCCGCGTTGTTTGTTTTTGCCGTGTATGCACAGTATCAGGAAATTTTGCCTCCATTCGGACGAAACGAATTCGGGCTTGTCGCGGGAATATCGTGGCCTTTCAAGTTCGCAGCGATCCACATCTACCACAACCGACAGCAAACTCGCTCTCACAACTGTTGCGTGCATAAATTAAATTGCATATTCGGACTGAACAATAGTAGCGTGTATACGTCAGAGTCGCGATAAACAACTCTTGAGCGTCGTTAACGAGAAATTATATGTTTACGCTCGCGCGAGGATTGCGACGAATTTCTCGCGCAAAAACAACTGTGTAATTACTATACACACATACACACACACACACACATGAATATAATAACACACGTATGTAATAACGCAGACGTTTATTTTTCCTCCGATTCTGCTTTATCCATTTTACTTCGTCAATTTTCAGCAGATAATAATGCAATAAAAATGCGATAGACGCTGATTGAAGTTGCTAAAAATACTGAAAATCCGCGGGTCTCTTTGAATGAAGTTTCGAGGGAATACATAAATGACTTCGGCGGAATTTTAGTTGAGAATTACTCACGGCGCACGAGTGTGAGGGAAGCTCCATGGCGGCATGAAACCATTAAAGTTTGCCTCGTAGATCGCAGCAAGTATGATGCGATTCGATCTAAAACCGATGCGTAGACCGTAACGATCGTTGCAGTTGAAACGCAGAAATATTTGGCGATTTTTTCACGGCACAAAATTTCAGCGCCTGTATAATTCCAAGGCGATCGCAATTTTGCATCGAGACTTTCAGCTTTAAACACCAAAGCGCGCCAGTGAAGTATTGCACGCTAGCTTCGAGACTAGCTGTACGCGTGATATTTTGTCTTAGTTTCAAGCACTCACATTCAATGCGAATTGCAGCAACGTTCGCTGATGTTTGCAATCATCCCAATTGGAGACAGATGAGACGGAGGATTGCGTAAACAAGATTTTATTAGCCTCGCATTCAATGACGTATAATGGAGACGTGATACGGTGATCTACGAAATTGCGTATGAAGGACGAGGAGATTGGACTAATTATCCTGACAGTGCAGGAGAAGACACGTCTGTTGATTCATCCCCGCCCTGTATTAACTAGAACGACTGAAATGGATGTCCTCGATGTGAGTCTCGTTAACCACCAGTCCCCCTACACATTTCCAAATTTTCAGTTTACATCCACTATCTAGACTATGAAACGAGAGCCTCTGCTGCTTTCATCGCTTCGGAGAATCCTACTTTCTCCCGAGTGAATAAAACAAGGTGAAAAATCCTGTCGAGCACAGTCAGTAACTATGAGCGTTGCTCAATCGATCACATACAGGGTGTCTTCGGTCGGTTTAACCTAACGATTTTGAAATTTCCAAAAGTTAACAAGTTAGGACACTATTATTCTAGTATTCTTGAGGTCAAATAAAGTAGAAAAGTGTGGTACCACTTTTCCTTCCGACAAAGAGTTAGCGAATAAGCGAGATTCAAGCTAAATCTTGAAAAAGTTGTCAAGTTTTCCTTAAACATCTCAGAAAATATTAGGCAAATGAGAAAATGATTCAGACAAAAGTTGTCCAAAATAATTAGTAGAAAAGAATGATACAATAAGAAATGGGGATTTCTATTTGAAAAAAGCAATGATTAGCGAATATCTCGAAAGTGGCGCCATCTGCAAACGAAATGATATCGCTGTCTCATGTCCCCCTTCAAACTAAGCAACTTTTGTCTAAAATATTTTTTCATCCGACCGCTTTCCGCGATGTTAATCGGAGTGCCCAATGGGACACCCTGTATGCATCTTATATTAATATTTTTCGTTATTTCTACGAAGATTCCTTTTTCAGACGAAAGAACAAGAACACGATGGAAGCTTGGACATCGGGAGATACTTGAAACATTGGTAAAAGTGGGAAAACAAAAATATAAAGTAAAATAAAAGAAGCAAAAATATATACGAATAACAAGTATAATAATAATAGTATAATAATAATAGTCAGCATAAATCGTATTAACCCCTTCCGTGGTAGAGCAAAATTCAGTAAAATGCACTGAAACCGCCCCAAAAAAATGACGGGGCGGATTTTTTCAATAATTTGTATACTTCAGTTTTTTTGGTCGCTGAAGCCGAATTTGAGGTCAAAATATAGAAATTCCAAAAGGCGGATCGAATATGGCGACTAAAATGTTTAGAAATGCTTAATATTATAAATAAAAGTAATTGGTCATTTCTCAAGTCACTAAATTAACGATTTTTATATAAAATCGCTCTTAACGCTCTTACTGCTCGCTGCGAACTGACTCGTTTGCTGCTCGCTCTTCGTCGTACATCCTCTGTTTTTTGGTACTACCGAACACTCGGATTTCTTTAGACGCTGCGGTCAAACGACGCCGATCCCTCCATCGGACGCCGCGGTCTCTCCTCAGTTTCTCCCTCTCACCCTTTCTCACTCTCACACATCCCGTGTGTGAAAAAGAAATTTACAATTTTCCGACATTTTAATTTGATTATAGTCTTTTTTTATTAACAAATTATAAAAAACTAAGTTGAAATTCGTAATCAGCGACCCAAAAAATACTTGATAAAAATTCTACAACAATAGTTATTACACTTAAAATTCAATACGACAACACGAAAATGATCTGAACGCACCGGTGCGTCCGTGCCATTTACGGCACGGTTTTGACTGGACGCACCGGTGCGTCCGTGCCACAGAAGGGGTTAAATCGCTGAGTGCGCACGCGGAAGGGAAAGACAAAGTCCGATCGATCTGTGCGGATCGAATTAGCAGCGACGATAAAACGATAACGTCGCGCGTCGCAAAGTTTCAATTTGCCGTTTCAAACTTTCGCTCTTCGTTACGTGTATCCTCATGCTCTCGAAGCTTTGCGGATTTCATGACACTCCTGACATTTGAACTGACTCATTTGCAGGATCGAGCTTACGCAAGAGATTCCAAAGGACTCTGAGATCAATAGGAAGAGAGAGAGAGAGAGAGAGAGAGAGAGAGAGAGAGAGAGAGAGAGAGAGAGAGAGAGGAAAGGGAGAAAGAGAGAAAGAGAGTTCAGGTACCAGTTGCTTCGCAACCAGTTGCTCTTCTCCGAGAGTATCTGCGATCGCGATCGAGGCTACGCCGAAAACGATCTCATCCCCTACTGCGTCCAAGGATACATACCGTCATCTCCTGCACAGGAGAGAGCTGGACAACGCGGGCGATAATGCTTGTGGAGAACGTCGCGCCTGATCCCGAAGCTCAAGCTCTGCTTCCATCTATCCTCGTGGGGGAGCGTCGCCACGCCTCCCGCGTCTATATAAACTCCACGACCACGGGGAAAGCTCACTCGCACCCCAGTAGCCAGTAGCGGTGGTAGTCGAGGGTGGCATTGCTTGCCGAACGGAGAACGAGCAGGAGCTTTCTTTCTCTCTTTCTGTCGCCGTCATCTCTTTCTTTCTCTCTCATTCTCTCTCTCTCTCTCTCTCTCTCCCCCTTTTTCCTCTCACCTGTCTACCTATTTATCTATTTCTCTCGAGGACCTGTCGCATCACACCTGTCGCACCGGACCTGTGAAGCAAATACGAGTGAACCAAGCAGCGTCGTGAACATGAGGTCCTGCTTGCTGTGGCTGTCCCTCCTCCTGTTGGTCGTCCTGGCCGACAGGAGCTTCGCCAGCCCTTACTTCGACGAGGGTGAGTCCTGTTCCTGAGCGATTCCTCTTTCTCGAGTGCTAACTTGTACGCGACGCGACCTCTCTCGAAAGAACCGAGTTCCGCGGGATGTACTCGACGGGATGAAGTCGTCGTGACGAGGTGACTCGGCAAGTTCGCAATTCTTTCCTGACGACCGTTCGCGTTCCTCCGGCTCGCGGTTGCGGTAGTGCGCGATGAATCGGGAATGATCGTTACGTTCTCCGGCTTAGCCGGTCGGGAAATCGTCTTTCCGGACGATTTCGTGGACGATGTGGTGCGAGCGCGATGCAACGCGTTTCCTGTGCGGGCTGGAGAATGCCGGGTGGAAGGACTTCCATTGGCGCGGCTGTACTTACCTTTTCGCCGGTAACCGACGGGTGTCCCGATCGTCCGTCTTGTCGACACGTTGACTGCCACGGTGGTCGCCGGTGGGTGACGTTATAATGTCTAATCAACGAATGAACTGCGTGCACAGCAAACTGAATATCCAGCCGGTAGAGAGCCGATCAGACACTCGTATCGCGAATTGCTGTTATTCACCGCCGTTATTTTGGTGATTGAAACTTGAGCTGAGCATCGGAACGGTCAGTGGGATTAGCGCGGCAGTCAACGTGTCGAAGGTCGGAATAATACGCGCGCCCGTATAAGCTAAAAGGAAAGTCGCAGGGGGTGCTCTTGCGCAACTCCTGTTAAGAAACTCGACTCGGCTTCCTGTGTATCGGATCCGACGACGACAGTTCGGCCGTGGAATTTTCCGCGTGGGACGTATTAATTATAGGACATCATATTTCGCTGTAGGACTATTATTATTTCGCTGCAACAAAATTTTTCACCTTTGCGCCATAAGCGCGGATGAAAAAGAAAATATAAAACGATTGCTCTCTCTCTCTCTCTCTCTCTTTCTCTCTCTCTCTCTCTCTCTCTCTCCCTCTCTCTCTCTCTCTCTCTCTCTCTCTCTCTCCGTAGGAATTGTATTTTTAAGAGAATTTTTCTTTTATTTCTTTTATTTCTTTTATTTTCGAATTTTCTTTTATTTTGAATTTTCTTTTATTTTTGTTTTGTTTCCCTCCCCTTTTTTAAAATATTATTGTCTCAGTGCGCGATACAACAAAAATAGCTCGTGTTTTACGCAACATTGTCAAAGTCGCTGAAAATAAATTTTCTTTTACGCGTTTTACCGCGCTGAAGAATTCTCGACGACTTCTTCCTGCAATTTGTTTCATGCAATTTCCGCAGAATTCAAAACTCACGCCTTCTCTGAAACTTCTATACCCGCACATGAAAATTTCCCTTAGATTTATTCCGTGTCAGACAACGTTCTCTGCGTAAGAAGATGCTCCCGCTCTTCCTCTCCTTCTTCCTCGCCCTCTCTCGCTCGTTCTCTTTTTCCCTGTTTTTATCTCTCTATTTAAGTACACGACATATACGCGACCGCGAAAAGGAAGCAACGAGAATGGTAATTTTGCGCGACTAAAGTATCCTATTTGTTAAAATGCTGTTTTGCGGAAAAAGTTTTGCTGAAATTATACAGGATATCCCATTTTAACTTTCGCATTAAAAAATCTGGAAAACTATAAAAGATATTAAGAAAAGCTAAAACACGTTTTCCATGATTTCGAAGGGGAAAGAGAATGGCATTATCAGTTTTTTATTTGGAGAGTATTTTCAAGATTAGTTGAAGGTCAATTTAATTTTTTAAAATAGAAAGCCCAATTTTTTGAAAGATTTAAGGAAAACTTGGTAGCTTTTCCAACATTTAACTTACAATATCTCGTTAACCATTCGTCGAAAGAAAAAATAATATTAGACTTTTTTACTTTATTTACTATCAAGAATATATTACTATAATAGTGCCTTAACTTTTGTTAACTTATCGACTTTTGGAAATTTCAAAATTATTAAATTAACCAAAATTAGGGCACTATTATAATATTATATTCTTGATAGTAAATAAAGTAAAAAGATCTCATACTATTTTTTCTTTCGACGAATAGTTAGCGAGATATCGTAAGTTAAAGGTTGAAAAAGTTACCAAGTTTTTCGACAATTCGACAAAGTTGTTAAAATTAATTAGTAGAAAAAGAAGATATAAATAATAAAAAACTGTAGATTTCTATTTTAAAAAATTAAGTTGACCTTCAACTGACCTTAAAAATGCCCTCCAAATAAAAAAGTGATAATGCCATTCTATTTCCCCTTCGAAATTATGGAAAACGTGTTTTAGTTTTTTTTAATATCTTTCATAGTTTTCGAGATTTTTTAATGCGAAAGTTAAAATGGGACATTCTGTATAATATCTGTTTCACTCGATTTGAGATCGCTTTGAACGCACTCGGGCGTTGCCGATTTCCTTCTTCAGCTCGCATCTCCGCCGAGAACTAAATCTCATCTAAATAAACATCGATATAAGCGAAAATTATCAATAACGACGATTACACTTTTGCTGAGAGACGTAACAAGCTTCCCGAAGCTTCCCGAAGAAATCCCCTAATTAGTGCATCATAATGTATTTAACGTTGCCGGAGTTAAATGGCGAGTCTACCGGCTTCACTTACCAACGTTGCAATATCTCGGAATTCTCGTGCGCGAAGCCTGTAAACCGTCAAAGCGTTACTTTCGACTTTCAATAATGACCGCGTATTTAATTAAGGAACTCGCAATTATCAAAAGAGAAAAGAGAATACGAGATAAGAGGACTTAGAGAGAGAGAGAGAGAGGAAGGGAGAATTATTATTATCAGACATCGCGTGCGATGAAAAATCGAAAACCTACGTTCATCGCAAATCAATGAATAAACCTGTCAGGAGCCATTGAAAGTGTTACATAAAAAATATCTCGGTAGAACGGGACAATAAGCGAGGATTTTTACAGAGGACGATGGGGAGATGGGAGAGACTCGATTCTCGACGGGAGAGCGTTGACGGGCGTTTGCGTCGCGTCGGATCGCGACAAACGCCACGACTAGTGATGCGGGTCAATGCATGGGCGGACGGGCCGATTGAATTACGTTAAAGCCGCGGCGCGTTTCAACGCGTGTGCCCGTGCAATTCGACATCGCAGAATCGGCAATCCGGGCACCTACAAAGCCGGGCTTGTGGTCGTCTTGTTACCGCCTGCGACGCGAATTTTACCCGCGATTAACAACGAGCGCGCCGCCAATAGCGCACTTTCACGCGAGAACGCTGAGAACCGAAAGCCGGACCCGAGCGCGAATTTATTTTTCGATTCGGCGCTCTCGACGAGTAACGTCCGCTTTATCCCGCGAGATGAATTACGTATCGCCGCGCGTTGGCGTGGGGTGTAATTCTTTGATGACGCGCGCTGCAATTTCCTGGATATCGAGCTTGGCCGGAGCTCCCTCGCGTCGTCCCTCCTCTTTCCATCGCTTTTATAAATCGAGTATTTTACGGACGCGTGTTGATTTACGAACTACGAATCGCGCGGCCTTGCGCTGATGAATAAATACTCCCGCTCGTTGATTCGGCTCCACGCGTCTGCCCTGCGTAAGTTCGCCTCCAGAGATCGGAGGATGCTGTGGAAAATCATGATGATTGTATAAGAACAGTCGACGTTGAAATGAAACTGTAATCGGCTCCGGGCGGGTCATCACTCCTGGCGATTTCATTACGGGCGCGTTTGATTGCTTTCGGGGCTTCCCTGCGAAGTACGTTGGAATCGTTAATCGATTTCTCGTAGCGTCGCAAGGTCGGCCAGGAAGTCGCTCTCTCCCTTGCGCGCCTCTTCGCGCTTCTCAAGTCAGCCAAGGTAATTCCCGGCGTATACATTGCTTAGTCTTCTCCGTTTGGACGGCTCGTATTTGCGTGTCCGTGAGTTTGCGCGTTATTCCCCGTGAAAAAGTTTTTCGCAACGTTTTACCCACCGGGGCGACTTGGACATCGCGAAATGTCGCATAATAATTGGGTTACTGCGTCGCGCGCGGCATACGAGTTGTGCGGTTTACGCGGTAGACGCTGAAATACAGTTTTACTTCGTGAAGCGTAAAGTAAAATTTATTCCACTGTCGTTTGCCACGGCTCGATACGACGGTAGCCCGCGAACCGACGCGATAATATAAGATCGCTGACAGTAGCGACGGAGAAAATACGCGGGGAACATGACCTTCGCTGGCGAAAAGGCGTGTTCCTTTAAAATGACTACCAGCACGTCGGTGGAATTTTAACCGAATCATATTTATGCGACGATGCACTCCTCGTGCGCCCCGCGATAACACGGTTTGAGGCACGCGACGTCACGTCGGATTGAAGCGAGAGATCCGCTCCGTGATTCAATTTGATGAAATCGTGGCTCGAAAAAAATTCCTAAAGCGGACCCTCTTTGCACGACCTTCCGCGACAGCTGCAGGAATCGAATTCCTGCTTGCTCGTTGCTTCAAACTCGACGGGATGGATCTCTTTCAGCGGTAACCTTCTCGCAGGAACAACACGGAACGATCTGTTCACACTAAAAAAAAGTATTTGTAAAGTGATTTTTCCCATAGTCTCATATTCTAAGCAAAGCCTTTTCGATAAAGTGATTAAAGTGAACCACTCATCTAAAATTCATTAGATATTATTCTAACTGTTTTCCTCTTATTTCAAGAGGACTTCCTTTTATATCAATTAATTTCCCTCTTGTATGAAGAGGAATATGTTGATTTGAATGTCATCTTCTTTTGTTCTGTCATGTTCTACCTTCAGACATGAACGAAAAAATAACTATATTCTCATGGGTCAGAATATTTGAAACGCTTTTTAAAAACAGTTATCGTGTTGCTTATAACATGTAACGAAAATAATTTATCCATATTTGGTCAAGTACACATTTATAATCTGCTGCAAGAAGTTGAATAATATATTCTTTCTTTTAACTATGTTTCATACAATTGGTTATGATGAACATCTTTGTTAACTGTAAAGTTCATAGCAAAACTGATTGAAAATTTATTTGCTATGATGATCTTATTTCATTCGTGCCTACTTATTGTAGAACTGGAGCCAGAAGTACATCTATATATATTATTTTTCGCTATACATTAGCATATTTCGCAATAATTTTTTTCAAATTAACTAAAATAACCAGTAAAAATAAATAATAATTTCCTCTTAAAAAAAAAATTAAATAACTTCTGTGTAAGAAAAAATTTATATTGAAATCAATAAGATTTGCATTATACATATAATATATAATCCCTCTAACTTTAAAAATAACGTGTTTATAATATTTTCCTCTTAATCTTAGAGGAGTCCTCTTAAGGCCGTATATAAGAATAAAAAATAAAATCCTCTAAAATTTAAATGATTCCGCTTGTTCTTTTATTTAATTACTTTTTCTTGGGTGACGCTCACAAATACACAAGGGACAAATAAACGAAGAAGACGGAAACAATCGACAGTCACGACTAGCTCGACAAAAGCGAAGAAACGCAAGAACTATTTTTTGGCCCACCTCACTTATAGAATTTGCGACTGCGGTTGCTCTTAATTCCAAATGATTCATCAAACGGACGCGGCTCGCTGTTATTGATCCATAAAAGCGGACGTGCTTGGGGAATTAATATCGCGTCCATACGCAAGCTCTCGTAATCGTAAGATTAGCCAATAAAAGGGCGAGCGTGTTGTCGGTCAGCAGCGCGGATAATTTCACGATTTCCTGGCGCAGCACACCGTAGGAATTTCGAAACATCCGCGGCGTCCCCGAGGTATTCGCACAAAGCAGAGGAACTGGAACGCCGACGAGACGAAAGGACGAAAGGATGGCGCGGTCTTTAGATTACCTTAATCCCGCAGATCGCTGATGGGAATGCCGACGAGGAGGGAAATGGAAGAAGAGGGATAGCGGATTGTCATTGCGCGCGTTCCGCGATACGATTCGGCAGGAACGGCTTCGTCAGGATTACGTCGCGACGATTAATGAACCCACGACCGGCCGTTCGTTCTCTTTATTCGGCCTCCTTTTCGCCATATTTCATTCGCCGGCGCTCGAAGATCGCACGATTCAATCAGGCGATCGTAATCTAATCGTCTCGCCGCGTCATCACCTCGTCTTGCCGCGATTAAGGTCTCTTTTCGGGAGATGAATCGATAGATTGGAAATTTTCGAGGGATCTGCGGAGAAACGAGGCTGACCTTTCCTATAAATTCGATAAAGAAGGATCAGGATAAGCCAAGATTCACGAGACAAAGATAAACGCGTGTCCTTCTTTCGTGGACGAGCGATTCTGTTTTTACTTCAGAGGTAAAAGTACGACTGATACAAGTTTATAAGCAAACACTTTTCCTCAAAAGGAGTACTTCTATGGGTGCGATCAAAGTCGTCACGTCTTTTCTTCGATGCCTTTCGGAAATGTATGTATACAGAAAAAAGTTGGAAGATATACGGAGTACAATATTACGGTAAGCTCATTCGCGAATAACGCGGGACGTTAAGAAAAAGAACGCTAACGCTAAGAAAAAGAATTTTCATTTGATGTTCTCCCTGACACATCCCGCTTTCAGCGCGTTTCTGCGCCACGAGTGGATCTCCGTGTAAATTCCAGAAACATATAACGAAATTTGCGGTAATAACTCTAATGAATCCCAGAGACACAATTTTCCTCCACGTGAGACCGCGGCTGAAACAAAGTAGAGCGCATTAATAAGAGTGAAACTCCGACGAGACTGTTAGATACGACCCTCTCCCTCCCCCTTGTTTTTTATTGTGCGTCTCTCGTAGTTGGTTTCAAACAGTTTCCAGATTCCGCGAGTTTTGATGAAGCTATCGATATATAAATACATGAAAAAAGGAACGTCGCGCAACGACCGTGCTTTCTGCTGAATCTTCTTTACAGATTTTTACCGCCAATCGAAATAATCATTAAAAATCTGTAAATTTGTCAAATTTGTCGATTGATTTGCGTCTGTACAAGATGTCCGAATCTTTTGGAAAGGAAAAATTGTGAAGATTAATCGGATCAAACTCAGAAGAAATATCAAGGACCCTTTTACAAAAATCGCAATAGTTATCAAGTTATTAATGATTGAAAATGACCACATATAGAAACTCTTTTAATTGATAACTTGAAAATTTGCGTATTTGCAATTATTTGAGCTCCAAGTTAAGTAGGAATAATAAAAGTATCAATAAAAAATCAAAATAAAATTTAATTTGGAAGCGAAAATTGTGATGAACTTATTTTTATATTTTTTTATAAATATATATTTTATAAAGGACTTTTTTTCTTCGGAATGACCTAATCTACAGTTATATGACGGCTGTTGTGTCTAGCGACAGGTTCAAGATTCAAGGTTCAAATTTCAATGTACTCATATCTATCACTAGACACAATAGTCGTCATGTAATTGTAGATTAAGCCATTCTGAGCAAAAGAATCCTTTACCATTTTGCAAATAAATATTAAAAGAGCCTCTAGATGCAATTATTTTCAATCATTAACAACTTAATATTGCGATTTTTGCAAAATAGTATATAACTTTCCTTCTCAGTTTCATCCAATTAATCTTCACAATTTTTCGTTTCCAAACATCCCGGACACCCTGTATATTCTTCTGTAAGACACGTCGCACGTCGACAGTTGTTTCGACACTTGTTACGAGTCTCGACTCGTGAAATGTCGTTCACACGGAGCTCACACGGAAAATGGGGTCGCACTTCGAAATATTATTATTCTGTTGTTCGATCAGATGGAACCGGCAAACTCTGGGTAAATTCAGTTTCGCCGAAAGGAGCGACGACAGATCGCTATTCACTCGAGTGCTCGCACGTCGGATCGAAAAAATGTCCAATCGCGAGGCAGAACTCGCGGTATCCTTGCGACGTTATAACGTCAAGCACGTGGAAACCTACGTGGAATACAAAAATCACATAAGTGGAAATTTAAGTATCGACAGGAAGGGAAAAAGCTGAAAAATTGATAAACCACATTGTTATCGTCGTTTAACTGTTTGTTCGATTTTTCCACGGTCGGTTGTCCATCGCCTCGCCTTTAGCCGCCAGTTCTTCGCTCTGCTCGACCGACTTTTCTTTTTGCGTCCAACGCATTGAAATGAAGATAATTTAGAAAGCAAAACGCTCCGAATATCTCGCTAATCATGACCGCGAGTGACAGATCGAAGCGTCGGTCGAAGCGAGTCAAGGTCGGGAAACAATACCCGTAAGCGACGCGTTAAAAAGCGACCCGCTTTATTTTTGCAGAGGACGACGGTCTCCAGACTGGCGGCGACTCGGATTATACAGACAACGATCTGGAGAATCTGATGCGCGCGGCGCAGCAAAAGTGAGTGGATTATCTTACTTGTCAATCCCCGGCTTCATTCTCCCCGCCTTACTGCCTTTCTCTCGAGATCTTTCTCGCGGAAAACACGCGGCCTCTCCCGTTTCTTCCCCCTTGATTCTTTTTCCCCCGTCGGCTATCCGGCTTCCGCGAGATTGTATACATTTCACGGATGTCGCGAGGACAATGCGGGGGAGCGCGCTCTATCCGGCTACTTCCACAAAAAGAACGTGGGAAGATAGGGAATAACGCGACTCTCTCTCTTTCTCTCTCTCTCTCTCTCTCTCTCTCTCTCTCTCTCTCTCTCTATCCGCAATTTTCCTGCTGTCGAAACCTCGCCGGGCGATTCGTCATTAGCGTCACGTTGCAGGGGCGAACAAACGATTCGCGCGAAACGACCGAAACGACAAAAACAGAAGCTTAAGTCGAAACTCGTCCGCGAACAAGCAATTAGCAAAATGGGAGGAGTGAAGCGCGACGCGAGGCTGCAAACGGCACGGAATTCTCTCTCAGTTCTCTCTCGTTCGCGGCTCTCGTCAAACGGCGAGATCACAGTGACGTTTCTTGCCCCTCTCTCTCTCTCTCTCTCTCTCTCTCTCTCTCTCTCTCTCTCTCTCTCTCTCTCTCTCTCTCTCTCTCTCTCTCTCTCTCTCTCTCTCTCTCTCTCTCTCTCTCTCTCTCTCTCTCTCTCTCTCTCTCTCTCTCTCTCTCTCTCTCTCTCTGTTTCGTTTCCAACACGCCGCAAAACGCAGCGATCCAGCTTGCATTTTTTTGATAAAACTTTAGAATAAGGCCTTTTCCGAATTTTAATATTTATTTGTTACTCTTATGGTAAAAATCTTTATCGTGACTCCGACAGTGATAATCAATCGGGGTAGCCCGAAAAAAATGTTACCCAGTTATTTTTTGAACAATTTTTTTTGGTAAATATTCAGAAGTACTATTATACCAAAAACCACGTTTTCTTGTTCAGTAATTTATAAAACTAGCTGTAAAAAAACATGTATACAAAGTTTTACATATATATTAAGCGAGGGTGGAGGGGGCCTAAGATCTTTATAGGAAAAAAAACACGAAAATTTTATCCCATATATTTAAAATTATAAATATCGATTTTATACTGATTAAATACCGTTCACAGTTGTTACTCGAATCTTTCGCCTTACTAAACAGACGAGTCTACGATATACTAAAAATGAATACTGAAAAGATTAGCAAGACCTCTACGCAAGGTAGGACGTATCATAAATTACAAGCAAAATAAAAATAGAGCATTATTCACAATCATGCTCTGCTTGAATCAAAAGCACAAACTTATATTATAAAGTCTAAATTATAGCGGAGAATAGTTTATGTCTTTGGTTTATTAAAGTTCATTGAGATTTTTACTCAATAGTTTAAATTTGATGCATTTTTCCTTCAGAGTTTTATAAGATCCGAAAAAAACTAGGTCGGTAACATCTCTTTCGGGCTCCCTCCATTGATGATCATTGTCGTAGTCACAACAAAAATTTTTATCTAGCAAGTAGCAAAAATATAACAAAATTCGGAAAAGGCCCTATTCTAAAGTTTTACCATTTTTTTATCCGCGCGATTCGCTCGGATAAAACGCTTCCGGCGAGCGGCGGATATGTATGTGCGTGGGTGTGTAATGCGCATGCGCGCAAACGACCCTCGCGAGTCGCGGCGTCACGCTGTCTCCCCCGGTCTCTCTCACTCTCTCTCTCTCTCTCTCTCTCTCTCTCTCTCTCTCTCTCTCTCTCTCTCTCTCTTTCTCTCTGTCAAGCCTGCGTACGCCCTGCCTCGATGTCTCGATGTCTCGAAAAGGCATTCTCTCGATTTCCCTAATCTCGAGTAGACGTACCTCGTTGATATACCTGTTTAGGCGGGCCTGCATAAGACGCGGCAGCAACTGCGACCACCGGCCGAAGGACTGCTGCTATAGCTCCAGCTGCCGCTGCAACCTCTGGGGCTCCAATTGTCGGTGTCAACGGATGGGTCTCTTCCAGAAGTGGGGCTAAGTCGTGTCCCACTAAGCCCCCGTCCGACTTGCAGCCCTCGTCCCCTTTTTCTTCTCTTTCCTTGGTCATCCTACCCTCGATTGTTGGTCTTTTACTTCTCTCTCTCTCTCCCTCTCTCTCTCTCTCTCTCTCTCTTTCCCTCTCCCTCCTCTCCTTTCTCGTTCCCTCCTCCTGCGACGAATGTCTTCCCTCGAGCACTTGGACGTTCCTGCCGTGTGACTTCAGCCGGTGCATCTATGTCCCGTGGGTACACCAACGACGTTCCCGCCGCTTGCGACTTGCATTCTCGACTCAAGACAAAGGCCTCGATGATAATACGCTTCGACAATCTCCCCTCGCGCGTGTCTCAAGTCCTCCCTCGGTAGGAAGAGGGAGAGAGGGGGGAGGGTATACACATACTGCTAAGAGACTACTCGTTTTTCGTCGATCGATTTTCGTCGATTGTTTGTCTATTATTCGCAAGGCGAGAGAAACCTCTCCGTGTGCGACTCTCGTCCTTTTTCGTTCCCCTTTTCTCCCGTTAAACGGCGATGAAGTCTCTTTACTCCAGTTTCTCGACGCGATCCTTCACGACTACTACTACCTCTCTCTCGTGATACTCGATATTCGGGATCCGCTGCACCGACCAACTCGGTTAGCACCCGGCCGACGACGAATCCTGTCCCTTCCTGGGTCCCGTAGCTCCGGTTACGGGAGGGAGGGGGGAAGGAGATGGGAGGAAGTGAACAGTCGATTAGAGCGATTACCGAGTGCAGCGGCCGATCATCGTGCTGATTGAACGGCGATTTTTCGCCGGGGATTATTCAACACGCGCGTCAAAATGTAACGGCCGAGGCTTTCGCGCGATCCGTCACGTTCGTTACCACATCCTTTTATTTCTCCCCCCCCCCTGCCGACATTTCCCTCCTCGAGCGCCTTCTTGGGTTTTTTTCTCCCCTGGGTCGTTTCATCTTCGTCAACGAAGGTCGTCGTTGAGCCGGGAGCCGGAGACGGCGAACACACACATAGACACGCACACACACACACACACACACACACATACATACACACACATACACACATGTATGCGCGCTCGGAGGATCTCGATCCAACCTGATCGATCGTTCCCTTCGCTGCAGCGGCTCTGGCTCGGATCCTCCGGACGAGACGCGCGAAGAATGCAACCGTGGAAACGTATTGTAATCATTTTTTTTCACGCTCCACGCGTTCCTTTTCCGCAACGCTCTACCGTGCGAGAGAGACATGAAGGTCTCGACGTCTCCTTCGCGAGACCGACGGGACCCTCTGCGAAGTGCGTTGCGAGATACTCGTGCTCGGCGCGCGCGAGCACGAGTCTCTCCGTCTGATTTCTCCGAGTATAAGTTCAGATAGTATATATATATATATATATATATATTAGAGATGTGCGAACTATTCGAATTCGAATCGAATCTAATGTAATTCGATTCGATTCGAATCCAAATCCCTATGATTCGAATCCGAATAATCCGAATAGGAATCAAATACATTATCGTTTGCGTGCATCAGCTACAAAACGGGCCATCTGGGCCTGTATCTTTGAACCCTTAACTTGTAATTAACTTCAATTATAATTAATAACTTAATTCCAAATTACTTTAATTATTTAAATATATATTTTACTTTAAGATAATATTACAGTATCAATATTCCCTTTCATATTAAAATCTCCCATCATTATTTGCATGTTTAATAGTCATGTTAAATTTCTTAATGATTCGATTCGATTTCATTCGATTCGATTCAAATTCGAGTGAAATTTCATAGATTCGATATGATTCGAATTCGAATTTAAAAAATGAGATTCGATTCGATTCGATTCGACATAAAAATTCTTGATTCGCAATTCGCACATCTCTAATATAAATATATATAAAATATAAATGTGAATGTAATAAAAGCACGCATGTTGCGTTTACTTCACAACGACACTCTCCCTCGGGACTTTGTCAGCCAACCATCCAGCCACCTCACCACCGCCGCGCCACCCCGGACGACAAACAGCAAATTGGCGATATCCATCGATGAAACACCAGCGGCGCATCGCGTCGCATCATGGAAAATTGTATCGAGACGAGCGTCCGAGAGAGCGCGCGAGATCGGTCTCGCATTCTCGCGCGTCGCACCGCGTCGCCTGCCTTCGACGACCTCGCCGCATCCATAACGGTCCAGAGAATCGCAGCTCGACTTTCCGTCACGTAATGATAATAATGATAATGATAAGGACGTCGAGGCGTCTTCCAGGAAAGAAACGCGGCTCCCTCCCGACGAGTCGAGCTCGATTCTTCGCGCTCCTGCGCTCCGCAGGCGCTCCTCGCAGTCCTGCGCGACGGCACGGAAAATTGGCACATCAGCGACGAGAGCGATGAGCGTGGGCAAATTTGGGGAAATTACCGTCCTCTGATTGGAGATACCTCTCCGGCCACTTTCGCTAATCAGATCACCGGTAGCTTCCCGTCCATCCGCCGAAGACAATTGCGAACGAGTCGATGGATCACTTGAGATCGGTGCGGAAAGAGAGAGAGAGAGAGAGAGAGAGAGAGAGAGAGAGAGAGAGAGAGAGGGAGAGGGAGGGGGGCAGAAAGAGAACAAGAAAAGAGAGAAAGAGGGAAATATCTCTTTTTCGACAATGAGCACGGACACGATGAAATAAATATGTACGCGGAGTAAGGGAATGTGAGAATATGTGCATAGTCGTCGACTAATTAATAATTGTTATGTATATGTGTCTCTACGGCGAATTACTCAACACACACACACACACACACACACACGGGAGAATACACTTTGGACGCGGTACGCACACGCACACGCGCACACACGCGCGCATACATATAGACACAGACGGCCCGCAATCTACATTTCTCCGTACCGGCTCTTAAATTTTAAACGTATATATCTACATATACGCATACGAATTATAAAATAATATTACAGTAATAGATGTTATGCATTGTATTCGAAGGTGGATGTACACGTACCGATGTATCATGGAAATATAATATATATATATTATATATGTATATATACATACGCCGAGAGAGAAAGAGTATTCTTTTTTGTTTTGGGCGACCATGAGATCGCTCAGCGCTTCAATAACTCCTTGTTTCCGTCTTGATTCGCCGTTAATTCGGAATTTTTCGAGCGACGCGACCCTCCTCCCCGAAATGGCCTCCTCGGGAGAGTTTGTCGAGTTCGCACGCAAATTGACGCGCATCCGAGTTAACTTCGCGCGCGACAACAGCGACGTTTCGAGCGACTTGCTTAACCCTTTAACGCTCGATTTTTTTATAAGTGTTTTAAGAATGAAATTTGAGTTTTTTGAACTGAGACTATAAATAGTGATAACCAAAAAAATATCAGAATTTTATATTGGTTTTTTTATCGTTCGTTTTTTATTTATTGGTAAATATGACTTGGATTCTAGAATCATATACGAAATGAACAACCTACATACAGAGAAAAATGAAGAGTAATCTATACGACATAACTCTGATAGTCAGCTTGACATTTTTGAGCTGAAACTTTACTATATTTGTGAGTGAAGTTTATTATTCCGAGCGTCGAGCTTACTATTTCAGAAGAATATCTTATAGATCACCATTTAGATAGTCAATCGTCCCTTCATTTTTCGCCGCATAAAAGGCGCAGTAGGTCACCAGATTTCACGAAAATATGTTGATTTCTTGATTTTCATGTCCACCATATTGGATTCGCCATTCTGAATTTCTGTATTCTTTTAATTTCACATTTTGCATCTGATAAAGCTTCCAAGTATATGAAATTATAACAGATACCAATCTATTCGTTTATAGTACATTTCTAGATGTCAGTAACAGTGCTAACTATGTCTACTTGGAATTTGACAAAACATGTTATCATTAAAACTGAGCTAAAAATAGACTAATCCGAATCTACATATAATCTATATACCATTTTTTAGAAGAAGAATTCACCTTCTTAGTGGTGCAAAGAAAACGAAAATATCTCTTTTTTGACTAAGTTATGGATTCTTAAATGCGTTTCTGGTAACTACAGTTACCAGATAGGCGTTAAAGGGCGTTAAGAGGACATTATGGTCGGAACGCTCAAAAATAAGGTAAATTTAGGAATTTTCTTCTACACAGTTAAAAACGTTTCGTATTTTTGTTAAAATTTTTTGTGTGTAGAAAGTTTTGTGTTAAATTTTTTACACAATCGTGCGTTAATTTAACATATCGTTGTTGTGTTACTTAGACTTTCTTGTGTTAAATTAAGATTAACTATTTTCAAGTGTTAAAATAACATTTTCAAATATTAAAATAACACAATTTATATGTAAATGCATGAATTCTTGTTCTGACATATTTTATATGTTAAAGTCAACACCTAAAATGTATTAATTTCCTCATTATAACAGTTATCATGTGTTATATTGTATAAAGATTGGGTTTTTAACATATAGATTATGTCAATCTGACATTTTCATTTCATCAAATCATAGATCATTACTTTTCCCAAATGTTGAAGTAACATTCATTGTACGTCAATTTTTGACACAAACTGTGATCTTCTTGACGGCATTCGAATGTTAAATTTTTGTGTCAATTTTTTACATATTATGCGAGTTACTTTTTAACATATTTGCCGTATGTTAAATTAACACATAAATGAGAGTGGATGATTTGAGACACATGAAATATGTTAAATTTAACACATCATTTCTTACGGTGTAGGAAACTATGACTCCGATTAAATGGAAATTTTAGGGGAAGTTTTACACATATTTAATGAAAACATATAAATTTTCACAAGGCATTTTATTTAGATTTGGCTGAGTTACGCGTCATTTCGCACGAAACAACGCGTGTTGTCACGATTTGCCGTTGACAAACGGCCTGGTGCTGCTAGTCCTGTTCCGTAGAATAACCCTTTCTGATCCTTCGTAAAAATCGTGTAATTTCTCTACATTGCTTTGGTCATATGAACTTTTTTGTAGTATCAGCATTCTTGATTCCGCGATGTGTAAGTCGCCGTTTATCCGTGTAATCAGCAAACAACTTACATTGCTAACCAATAATTATTCCAATCGTTTCCATAACTTCTAGAATGGTAATGTAACCCTTGTTAAACATTCCTGCAGCATAATATAAAATATGAACAAGATTCGAGAAAGAATTGAGTTTGAATGACCATTAGAGATTGCAATCTTGTTGAGGATATACACACACATAAAGGCCACCGTATATGTAGAAGATTCTGTTTGTTTGTTTGTTTGTTTGTTTGTTTGCTTTGTTCCTTCGACAACGAAAAATTCCCACTTGCCCTGACAGCTTCAAACGATCGGACGGCGTTGAACGGTCGGATGTTAAATCGCTAAATAACTTTGTTAATACTTCGAATTTCGGAAAATCGCTGCACTAACATATTCTCAAGATGTGCCATAAAAATATATTAAGGGGAATATATTAAGGGGAAATTATGGTTTCAGAAAATCGAAAAAAATTTCTTCGATTTTCTGAAACCATGATTTCCCCTTAATTCTCCGAGCCGCGCTTCGACATCGACCTGGCCCCGATTGTCGACGGTGCGCGTGAACTCGAGGTGTGCGCAGGTGTGTGCGCAAGTCGCAGGAAAAACACGAGCGCAAGAAGGAACGGTTCTTTTTTCTCTCCATCCGCCGAGAAGCCAATTGAGAACCTCCAGAGTCACGATGACCTCTTCCCTCCGCCAGGCCGGCGAGGCAACGTCATGCTAGACCTGCAGGGTCAAGTAACTGGATCGTGACGTACGATTTAACTCACAACGCGATTTTCTTGCGGCGAGAGATTACCCGGCAGGTTATGCCTTGTGTGCAGCCTTCGTGATTCTTACGGAGACTTCAAACTGTCCGGAATATAATAGACACGCTCTCTCTCTCTCTCGCGCGCGCGCGCACGCACGCTCTCGTATTCTCAGGCCGGCTCGCGATTATTTACAGATCCCGATCCTCCCCTGTCCCACTACCGACGAGAATAAATTGTTTCCTCCGTGCCGTAAGTAAATGCAAATCCGGCCGATGAAGTGCTGGGTAAAATTGAACGAGGCGCG